CTCATTTGGCGTGGATCTCCTCTTATATAAAAAAAAGTCAAGTAATAGATGTGATTTTTTTTCAAACTTCGATATTCCCTTAGTGCCATTTCTTCGAAAATTCAGATTACCGGGATAAGAATCAGAAATCGAAACATTTAGTAGTGGAAACAGTTCAACTCAGACATGATTTTTCTTATCAAATGTGCTTTATTTTGAGAATTAATGCTTTCAGGGCATAGTCGCTGAGGACTTAATAAAACTGAAGAAGTTTCTGGCAAAAAAAATCGAAATTATATCTCGGAACTACTTATTACTGAGGTAACAAGGAGATAAAATCATTATCGAGTAAGCAACTTCCGGGAAACGAGTGGTGTTAGCAAACAAAGTTAGAAAACCGTTTTTGAAGTTAATGAAATTTGCCATCGAAAAGGTCCCTTGATATTTTTTTTGAAAACGCGCATCAATGAGACAATGCAGCTCTTATATGTAAAAAGAAGAATTGTGAAGGCAGCAAGGAATAATTTACCAAATTCACAGTATTCTCTCCTTAATTGTTTGATAACTCATTCACTCTTTTATTCTTTCTCCATTAAATTTAGATGCCAAAGCTGCAGAGGCTGCCCAAAGTGCATACTACGATCCAAACAGGCCACAGTGTGCATACGTGCCACCACCTGCTTATTATGTAAGTAAAATTAGCAAATGAGAATCGTTAAGAACCTTAATGTATAGAGACAAAAAAAGGATCAAATTAAAAATAAATTACACTAAAATCGGGAGTTGAAGAATCAAGAAGTTGAAAATATCGAAGAAATGCAGAATGAATGCGTGTGCATCTCTAATACGTTTATAAACTCTAAATTGACACTGAGAGAAAACAGAAGAGTTCTCAAACAGGTCTTACTTGCGCCCAAAAAATCGTTAAATGGATTTTTTAATAATTTTTATCAAAAAATTTTCAAAAAACAAATTTTAGTGCAAAACAGATTGTCTTTTCAATTTTTTTTAATAGTTTATTTAAAGCCGCTACAGAACTGCTGTGGTTATAAGCGACCATTCGTTTTACAAAAAGAGAATTTTCAGGAATATCATTTACAATTGTATTTACATTGGTATGGTTCAATTTCATACATTTTTGACGTGGATACGTTTCTGGTTTCATTATGGGAGATCATTTTGGGAAACGGTCCTTATGTGCAACGCCATCCACCGGAATTCTAGAAAATTCTAGACATTTCGAGGTAATTCGCGAAGTTTCTTCAAGTTTCGAAAAAATTCAAGGAGTTTCCAGAAATCTCAAGGAAATTCAGGGAGTTTCTCGAAAATTCGAGGGAATTCAAGGAGTTTCTAGAAAATTCGAGAAAATTCAAGGAGTTTCTAGGGAATTCGAGGGAATGCAAGGAGTTTTTAGGAAATACGAGGGAATCCAAGGAATTTCTAGGAAATTCGAGAAAGAAGGAAAGACCATGGACGTATCCACGTACAATTACAGCTGTATCAAAGATACCGCCGCCTGCAATTACTTTAGCATATTGGTTGCCTTCAAAAACTTTATGATTTTCTCACATCCTTCTCGGGTGTTCAGCAGCAGCAGTTTTTTTATCAGCAGTTTCTGCCACGCTGTCTCAAAAAATTTTATTCTCTGTACAAGCAAGAAATGTAATTTTTGTCATTCCGGCCGTGAGGCAGCGCTCCGCTCCGCGTCCGTGAAGCGCTGCCTCACAGCCGGAATGATAAAAAAATACTGTTCGTCATACGGCAAAAAAAAACTTTTCTAGCTCATATGATTGCAGCCCTCGCGTTCGTCTCGGGCTGCAAACTCATATTCGCCAGAAAAGTTTTTTTCGGCCTAGTGACGAAATATACTATTCTAGTACTACTTTTTCCTTATTCGATGCTCTCATACGTATTTTCCTTTGTTTTATATGAAACGTGGAATAGTAGTTTGTCTTTTCGGCTATTCAATAATCACAGACAAAAAAGATTTCTTAAATGAAATAATAATAACGATATGACGGCAATTTTGCAACTTAGGAACAAAATATTTCTTGATACACTTCCCTCTATAAAAGATATTTTTATTCTGAAAAGGCACTATCTTGTATGAATGATCCGCCTCTTGAGCCAAATACTTCGTTGGCCCAAGCAAGACTTGTTTGAGAACTTGTTCGGTTTTCTCTCAGTGTACTGCAACGATTTCTCATTTTGTTCGCAAAATAATTCATAAGTGAAATGGGAAATGGGACATTCTTGTAGCTTAATGACAAAATTCAAAAGTAAAAGACAAAAATTAAGGACAAGTTCTTGTAACTTAGGGGCAAAATATTTCTTGATAAACTTTCCTCTATATAAGATATTTTTATTCTGAAAAGGCACTGTCTTGTATGAATGATCCGCTTCTTGAGCCAAATACTTCGTCGTTGTCGAAAACAGAGCAATTATTCCTATTTGAGACTTTTAAATTTGAGCCAAACAATTATTTTTTTGGTAATTTTCAACTAACGGGTTCGTTAGTTGACAATTACCACTTGTTTGAGAACTTGCTTAGTTTTCTCTCAGTGTACTGCCTCGATTGCTCATTCTGTTCACAAAATAATTCACAAGTGAAATAGGAAATAAGACATTCACTGAGTGGTCTTTTTTGGGAAACGTATTGGAAGCTGAGGGGGATTTAAAATTTTATGAGAACGTTTTTTATATCTGTCAACCTACTCCATACAAAAAATTTCCAGAAAAAATCGCTCATCTTATTTAGGTTCATAGATATTCATAAGAAACTAATCTATTCTCGAATATCGTTAGATGCGACAAGATATTGAGAGAAACGAAAACATTTTCTGACGAAAATCTTGCTTAAACCGAAAAAATCGCAAGTTGTTAAGTCCCAAGGTAGAACGTACGAATTGTTTCATTTTAACATACAAAAGTTTCAAATATGAATAATTTCTTTGCTTTCAACAACAAAATATGTAACTCAACTAGCAGATCATCCACGCAAGGTACAATGGTGTCTTTTCAGGATGAAAAGGTATTTCATAAAGTGAAGCTCATCAACAAGTATTTTGTTTCTAAGTTACAGAATTGCCATCCCGTTATCATTATCATTATTATATTTGAGAATTAATTTCTACCTTGTTTTGGATGAAATTAACATTTCCCGTCAGCAAAATACGCAATGCAGTATTGAATAACGAATAACTAGTGCTAGAAATGAGGTTTCTTACTTGCACCGAGAATACGAATTTTTGGGAAAAACTAAATTTAAGTTTGTCAAGACTTGCTTGAAGACTTTCTTTTTTTACTCTGAGTACAGTTTCTGAAATTTTATCGTTGGCCTTTATGGAAACTCACCTTTTACATAAGAATTACGGCAAAAAATAGGGAGGAGCCTCAAACTTTCCAAACTACCGTCTTTTCATGTTACGTCAAAACGATTTGAATATGAGAGAATTTCACTCAACTATATTCTAATGAATAATTAAAGATTGTTACCGAAATAGAAAGAAATTTTGTCGTGATGAGAAAGATCGCTGCATTCTCTACATTAGGTGAACATTGGAGCAATTCGTAATTTTCTACTTTTCTGTTGAACACCTCAATTTGCGATGGTCTTTATGGAATTATTTCTTATCTAATTATTATCGAATTATAATTATCTTTTATCATTGAAAATGCAACATATGAAAATTTTCTATTGACTTCAGACCTGCAGGAAATCCCATAGGAATTTTGGTTTTTCGTGAAAAAATAGAAACGAGTGGGGTAAAAAGCGCACTTTTGACTTAAAAAAAATGAGAATAACTCGTTGAATTGTGGATAAAACAAGATATTCGTTCCTCATAGAAAAACAATTTTTCCCCTTGGATTAATCCTAAACTAATTGTGAACTCAATTGGGAAATTTGTTTCTGAGTTATAATCTTTGAAAACAAAAAATTTGTATTTTCACCCAGAAAAATAGGATGGTCCCATCCCGCTTTTTTTGTTTTTGTTTTCTATAGAAACATATCCCTACAGAAAATGTCGAAATTCTCCACTGAATCATTTTGTAGGAATTTCTATCGTATAAGTCTGATTGCAATTTTCATATTTAAGGGGAGATCGCGGTCAAATGTGAATTTCTATTCAGCGATTTTTGATATACGATGGGCCATGTTATTTGACCAGGTTTTTTGACTGTTTCATTTTGCCCCACTCTCCCCCATGTATGCATAAGTTTGTATAAGCTTGGGTTTCCCCCTTGGTAGGGGAGAGTTTTTCTTCCGATAAGCAATAAATAATAATAATAATAACAATAACAATAATAATAATAATAATAATAATAGACTCTAAAGAACAAAACAAGAAATCCGTTTTACGATCTGTTGAATAGATCATGAAAATCAGATGGATTGTAAGACGAAAAAGAAATTGTTTTGAAGGAAAAAAATGCAAATCGGATGGAAAATGAGGCACTTGGACGATTTTTACTTAAAAATAAAAATAAAAAAAATAATTTCTTGTTCATGTATGGGGTAAAATTGGTTGCTCCAACAAAGAGTTTGTAATTTCACAAACAAAAAAATTATTCATGGAATTGCTAATACTCGTAACCTTGTTTTACCTTTCAGGAGAGTCCACCAAGTTTCCAGCAGGCAACGGAGAAGAAAGACCAGTGAAAATGACAAATCCTCCCATGATTATAAAAAAAGTATTCTCTTTGAAATCACCTTAGCAATTATCGTTGATTGTTGTTAACTATCCTCCTTACGTTCTTTAGTACTTTATACATTTTTCAAATGAAGGCTGTTGAAGCTATGAATCATCTCGAATTCCGGTCGACCATGCATTTAATTCTTTCTATCGTTTTTTTTATCGTTTCTTCTCTTTACTCATGAAATGATTACGGCCAAAGAGATGGAATGGGCAAGGGAATCCACCGATTGTCGATACATGAAATTATGATTATTACAATATTATTATGGTTTCTCACATTATTTTCGTGCAAAATATGTTGTAAATTTGCATAAATAAACACGCTAGCATGGCACAATTGTTTTTATTATTAAAAAAGTACCCTAACCCATTTGAACATTTATAAAATGATAAAAAATATTTTCACAATTTATGTACAATCTGGTTACATTCCTAGACTAGGAAGAGATAAGTCCGGAAAATTGGAATATTTTGCTGCCAATTTATTGAGACGGCCAACGCTTCGATGAATTCATCAGGAAACTTTTTTGTAGAAAATTTTCTCGAACTATGTACTTGATTAACAAATATTTTACGCAACATCCTTAAAAAACTTTGGAAAATTCACTTTGAAAAATTCCAATTCATTCACGGTCTCAATTTGTTTTTTGGCAAGAAAAAAATTTAGATTATTTGCTACAATATTGTAAAAATTCTGGACTTATCGTCTTCCAACATTTTGGTATAAAATTTCTTCACTTTATATGTACAATTATCCGTATTCAGAAGTCACCGTGAGACTGAGTTGTCCCTTGTCGACAAAGGTCGCATGGTACCAAAGTCTTGTATCGAGCAGAATAACATCTCCACTGTTTACAGAGAAATTAAATTTATTGCAGACGTTATCACACTCTGGAGTTGGCGCCACAGTCCAGGTTTTGTCCCCTAAGATTTGACCCTGCCACATCAGTCGCGGAATGTAATCCAACTGTTGAAAGACAATTGAGATGTAACATGTATTGTCAGCTGTAAATCATTATTTTTCTCAACGCAAATCAATCCGCGAGATAGTCTAGAAACATGCAATCACGTACGACAAAATTTCGTAGAAAAACCTAATACATTTGCTAGAAAATTTTATTGAATTTCCATCTTTTATTTTAGTTTTTGGCCTCTGCAGTCATTAGCTGATTCGAAGTGAAGCAATCTATTATGTCCAAATGATAAAAATTGATCCAGTTATTTGGATTAAAACCAAAACTAAAATTAGTATTGTAACTTGTATTTTAGTTTTTGACCAAAAACTAAAATACAACTTAAAAGTTCGGTCGAAATCTTCTCCACAACATTGAATTTCTATGGGAGTTCTATTGGAAACTCAATTTTCCGTCCATACTATTAGAAAACTCCGCGGCTTTTCTACATGTTTTTCCACTGAAGTTTTCAATGAAAAATGTTTTATAGAGAAAATCAAAAAAATTCCATTTTGTCATACAACTTATTTTATTGAGATACTTTCTGCAGAAATTCCTCGGAGTAAATATTTCAAGTTGTTTTTTTGTTTACTTTTGTTTATGAAAGAAAGAAAAAGTCATTTTGCATACAAAATTCGGTCTGGGTTAAAAAAACCGATTATTTACGTCTGACCTGACCGAAAGGGAAAATGACGGCCATTCCACGTCTCTACTTCCTCTCCGAGCTAAATACACAAAACACAAAAGAAACAAGCCATTCAAGCCTCTATGACTCATCATTTTCATTCCCTAATTATCTCAACAACAACTAATGATACTGTAAAAGAGACATATCCTCCCACAAAGTGGAAGAAGTTACATTTCGCGCCACTTTCTTCTTCATCCTCATCCTGAAACCTTTAAACATTAAGGTTCGTCATATCCTACATGACAATCTCAAAGGACATTTGTTATTGTAAATTTCATCATTGATAAACAAAGCATTCTACCATTTTCTCCTCAGACCACTAATTTTCAAAAGAACAATAATCAACAAAAACATTGAAGTCTACTGATTACATTCATCTTCGCTCGTGATATTCTTACAATAACTGCCAATTATCTCGCTAACAAGTGGTATAGCGGGAAAATTTTCACCTCTCCTTTCTGAATTTTCGGCTTTCTAAAAAAGGTCTCTCGATATTTTCCTCCGAAACACTTTCTTCCCGATTTAGAGATACTATAATTGTACGTAGATATGTCCATGGTCTTTCCTTCTTTCTGGAATTTTCTAGAAACTCCCTGAATTTTCTCGAAATTTCTAGACTCCTTGAATTTTTCCGAAATTTCAAGAAACTTCTCGAAATACCTCGAAATGTCTAGAATTTTCTAGAATTCCGATAGATGGCGCTGCACATAAGGACCGTTTCACAAAATGACCCCCCATATTGAAACCATAGACGTACCCATTATTGATATCACCGAAATTATTTTCGAAATCATCTCCGAAATCACGTGAAATAGTCTGAAATCACCGAAATCAGTGGCGCACTGGCTTAGCGCGAACCGTGCAAGTAATTCGTGATTTTGAAATTGGCACGCCTGCCAATGATGATAATAAAACGCCGTACTGACTGCCCTAGTAAAATGGTAAAATGGAACGCTTTTCATCGTTATTAGCTCAAGATTGGCGAAGTGGAATCACACGAATTCATTATAATTTACCAATTTTGATTTTCATAATTTGACACAACCCGTTTTGCCCCACCTCTATTATTTATTAACCCTAGATTGGTCACCCTACACTGTTAGAAATTTCTTGAAATTTCAGTCACAGAGTCATCTGAATTTTCGATGTTGTGAGGTTCAATTCAGTTTCAAATGAAAACGTTCACTAAATTTCTCATTCATCTTGAAAAATCAAGAAAATTGGGTTTTTCATGTTAAACAATTATTGATTTTTCAATGAAAGCTTGAATTTCCAAACTCATCGTGAAAATTGGACATGACATTCAATTCAATTTTCAATACATTGAGAATTCAGGAAAAGTTGTTGCCTAAATTTTCAAAATTTTCAAGATTTTTTAGTGCCGTATGAACCTGAAAATCAAGAATTACTTGAATATTCAAGAAAATAACTGACTCGTCAGTAAAGAAATATACAGAAATTTCATGTAAGTTTGAAACCCCGCCGCGCGTCGTTTTCCGTTAATTACAATTGACTGCCTATCCGGAAAAATAAAAAATTTGACTTTGTCAATTGAAGTGTCTAAAAAATTATAGTAGTTTTTAGAACAGCATATTTCCCAATATTCCTAAAGGAAAAAAATGATTTCGCACAGATGAATTACTTTTTCCCATGTTAAATGAAATTGTCCATGGCGCGACGTTGCCGGAAACTCGCCAAACGCACCCGGGCAGTGTAGAGTGAATTCGGCAACGCTAAAGCCTAAATAACAGGCGGAGAATCCGGCGGAGGTGATCAAGTCGCAGGGTCGCGCTTGGTGACCAGTCTATTTTTCTGAAATCAGTGATATTGGCTGAGAGTAGTTGGAGTTTTTGAAGATGAATAGAAACGGTTGGAATATTTTTAGTGAAATCACTGATTTTTAATTAATGAAATCATACGAAATCATGAATTCCTCTCCCGTGACGATCGAAATCACCGAAATTATTTTATCCGAAATCACTGAAATCACTTGAAATCGATTTCATTTCTAAATCATGGTGTCACTCAATTATGGAGTGAGTAGCCTCTCGCTTCCATCCCAATCATTTCAGTAACAACTTGTAATACAAAAAACCATGAAGAGACGTTTCTTCCTAAAAACAAGTGAAAAATTGCTCCTGTATTGCGTATAGTACAGTTATTTTTGATAATAAATTAGCAATATGTTTCGAAATGGTCATTTTGCTTATTTTTTTCCATTATATATTCTTTATAGTCCATTTTATTTTCTTGAATTGAATTAATTTCTTCCCAACTAATTGTTTTAGATTTTCCACTTAATGAAATTAAGTGGAAATATTGTTAGGAATATTTCATTTATACATAATTGAATGCATTTGAAACATCACATTTAAAGGAACCATTAGAAAGCTAACTTTTAGGGGAATTCATGAAAAATTCGAAATTTCCAAAAATTATCATAAAAATCAAATTAACTGAGACAGTTATTGTAACCATCTTTTAACTTCGTCATAGTCGTATTGAAACAAACATATTACGCTATGATTGAATTCATTTGAAGCGCAATATCCAGAGATATCTGCGGAATTCTGATTTTCGAAAAATACGAAATTTTGGAAAAATTTCACAGAAATTAAAATAACGATTATTGCTATCGCTTTCATCTTCGAACTCGGTCAAAAGGCCATCCCAACGATTTTTTAAAGCTGTCATTCAATGAATTTGGAATATTTTTTTTAGTTATCGTGTTACATCTGAATTGTGAAAAAATTTGAAAATTGAAAAAATGAATCAATGAATTAAATTTTAATTAATAGCGATGGATAGAGCTTAGCAATACCTTCATTTAAGAAAACAAGCAGGGTTGTAAGCCTTTTTGGCAGAAGCCATGTGACATTTACTTTTTTTTTTTTCGGAAATTGAATGGATCCGTACAATTTCGCAGATGATAACTACTCAAAAAGCTATTCATATTGGTAAGGGGAATAAACCACACCGACCTCTGATTCTGCCAGAGCTATACAATTTCATCCTGTAATGTCATAAGAGCTACAATTTTACCAAATTTTAACTTCTACCTCTGGCATAGCTATGACATTTCATCAAATACAAAATACCATAAATTGTTGTTATGACTTTTGAAGTCATATAGAGACGAAAATCATTGATAAAATGACGATGTGTAATTTTTTAGAAAAAAAAATTTTGGATAAATTGCTTTATGCCCGGATGTACTGAATCGATTGACACAACATTTTATACATAACTGTGGGCTCATAATACAAATTATTACCCAGAATCTCAGATATCTAGATCGAGCTTGACGCGTATTACACTGAGAAAAAAAATTTCTAAGAAATAGAAATTCTATGATTGATCCAAATCGTTCATCGATTGAATAGTCGCAAAAGAAAATGCTATTGTAAGACACAAATATCGATTTGAATTAAACCAAAATTGGATTGTATGAAATCGATTTTGTTATAGTATAGTATATTTTGTTTATTCTATCGAATTTAGAAAATACTTGTTTTTGCGACAAAATCGATTTCATACAATTCAATTTTGGTTTAGTTCAAACGCTTCGGATTTGGCGCAAATAATTTTTTTTTCACAATTGCAATGGAAAAATAATCAGTTCAAATGATGAAGAATTGCGTTTGTCGTAAACAAGAAACTGCGCTTCGCGAAAGTCTCGCATCAATGAGTATCCAACAATATGTTCCTCATAGGCCAAATGAATATTTTATTGCATCTATGAATTCTGCTTTCAATCAAACAGATATTCTTTTGCAGGATATCGTGACGCTGATAAATTGGATAATTATATGCTTTATTCGAAGAAGATATCTGATAATACAGACATTGCTTTGTATGTACTGAAAAGTAGATAGCAACAAAAAAAAACTTTAGACAACTGATCTCATTCTTTTTCAATCGAAAACATTAAAATTAAATCGATATTTGTTTCTTACAATAGCATTTTCTTTTGCGACTATTCAATCGATGAACGATTTGGATCAATCATAGAATTTCTATTTCTTAGAAATTTTTTTTCACAGTGTATGGACACCACATTAACTTTAAAATGAAAAAATTAGAAAAACGCTGATATCTCGGAAACTTTGTATAGGCGGGTATACATATTTTGATTGATCTTGATAGAAGATATCGTGACAAATATTTTGAAAAAAAAAGTGAATCGGTCCAGTAGTTTAGGAGATATTAAGCATAACAGTTTTTCACAAAAAAGTTGAATATCTGCTAAACTACTTATCCGATTCAGCTCGTGAATAATATAATTCTGTAGTATCATAAGAGCTACAATCCTACCAAATTTCAACTTCCTATCTCGAATTTTCAGCGAGTTATCGTTTCCACAACGATTGCGTAGTAAAAATGAAAAATGCCGATTATTACTAAACTGATCCTAGTTACGAAGCAATATTTTGATTTGATTCGATAGATATTATCGTAAGGAATACTTTTCCGTCAAAAAACTTCAATTCGGTCACGTAGTTTATGAGATATTAAGGAAAAAAGATTTTTGAGAAATTGCTATATCTCGGAAATTACTGGGCCGATTAAGCTGAACTTGCGCCCACAAATGCTCCAAAGTAATACCAATTATCCGACGAAATTTCAGATTTTTAGCCCAAACTTTAGTCCTTTTCGGGGGGATTTATAAAAAATTTCCGAAAAATCGGCATACACATTCTGACATACATACATACATTTTCTAAAAACATCATATTTTCACGTTTCATGACATTCTACATCATTTCCAAGCAAAATTACGAGATCGTAAAAATCATCGATTACAAGGCTTCCATTTGGAAGCAAAAATTGCCACATTTCGTTCCGATCCCAATTTCTCCCCCTCAACTCCCAAAAAAATACTCACATGCATGATCGCGCCCTCGTCATACCCCAGGAACACATAATTCGTCTGGGGCACCTCGGCATCATCTGGCAGGAACTTCGGCGGTTCATAGTACTTCCTCATCTCCTCCAGCACCTCGGGATGGCAGTTTTTCCATCCAACNGAAACTTTGTATAGGCGGGTATACATATTTTGATTGATCTTGATAGAAGATATCGTGACAAATATTTTGAAAAAAAAAGTGAATCGGTCCAGTAGTTTAGGAGATATTAAGCATAACAGTTTTTCACAAAAAAGTTGAATATCTGCTAAACTACTTATCCGATTCAGCTCGTGAATAATATAATTCTGTAGTATCATAAGAGCTACAATCCTACCAAATTTCAACTTCCTATCTCGAATTTTCAGCGAGTTATCGTTTCCACAACGATTGCGTAGTAAAAATGAAAAATGCCGATTATTACTAAACTGATCCTAGTTACGAAGCAATATTTTGATTTGATTCGATAGATATTATCGTAAGGAATACTTTTCCGTCAAAAAACTTCAATTCGGTCACGTAGTTTATGAGATATTAAGGAAAAAAGATTTTTGAGAAATTGCTATATCTCGGAAATTACTGGGCCGATTAAGCTGAACTTGCGCCCACAAATGCTCCAAAGTAATACCAATTATCCGACGAAATTTCAGATTTTTAGCCCAAACTTTAGTCCTTTTCGGGGGGATTTATAAAAAATTTCCGAAAAATCGGCATACACATTCTGACATACATACATACATTTTCTAAAAACATCATATTTTCACGTTTCATGACATTCTACATCATTTCCAAGCAAAATTACGAGATCGTAAAAATCATCGATTACAAGGCTTCCATTTGGAAGCAAAAATTGCCACATTTCGTTCCGATCCCAATTTCTCCCCCTCAACTCCCAAAAAAATACTCACATGCATGATCGCGCCCTCGTCATACCCCAGGAACACATAATTCGTCTGGGGCACCTCGGCATCATCTGGCAGGAACTTCGGCGGTTCATAGTACTTCCTCATCTCCTCCAGCACCTCGGGATGGCAGTTTTTCCATCCAACATACCAGCTGCCTCCCTCCCTGTTCTGCCTCCGTCCCTCGCTCATCCCAAACACTTCCTTAAGACTCGAAAAGTTGCTCTTGAAATGCAGAAACTGGCACTCCTCCTCAACCGACTCATAACTCCCCTCAATCCTCTCATACAAATCCCTAAAAAACTCAAGACTAAACACCTCTGCAGCCCTCCAGTGCTCAATCGCCCTCTTCACGATAATCGGCCTGGAACTGTACGCAAACTTCTCGAACTCCTCTTTGGTATCATTTGCAATAATTATAGCAGAGTCTATTCCACGACAGAAATCACAGTCTGACACTGGTCTCGTAAACTCCCAAACTAAATAATTATTTGGAATGTAACATCTCGAATTGTAGACATAATTAACTAAATCGTCACGCCCATGAATGATTACTCCGCAAATCAGCGAAACAAAAATTCCTGCTGCAAATGTTCTGAAGCTCAACGGAAAATCGAGAAACTGTTTGGTATTTGCTGAGTCTCTCCTTTGCGCTAAAGACTTTAAAGTATTTAATTGCACTCCTCGACTGAGATACTCGCGATTTAATCCGAGGAAAATCTCTCGAACAATTCCTAATTGTTTTTTTCTCTTTTCCATATCCTTTGGTATTTTGTTGAGTTCGTGTAACGATTCGAGAATAATCCCTCATTTTTATTTCCACCTGATGGTTCAGTAGTCAAGAACGTTAAACTTCGTCATCACTTATCTTATCAGCGATGACTAATTGTATTGAACATAATTTTTCTGTTTTCTTCCTTCATTAGCTATCACTTGTAAGAATTCTCCTCGACGTTGCAAGTGTTCAAAGTAATTACAACTCGACAAAATAATGTTTTCAATATTATTTTCGAGGGTAAGAAGACGTAAACAATCAAATGACCGCAGATTTGTAAAATCTGACGTATTCACGATTTACAACATCACGCGAGATAAATTGACTGTCCCTGGGCCACTTGTGTTTAACACTGATTGTGAGAGGTCTCAAAGACTGAAGAGATGTTGAGGAATTGGTGGGGAAGGTATTGATCACTGCACACGTGGTAGAGACTTTCTTCTCGGGATTGGTTGGAGGGAGTTTGTTGGAATCGGGAGAAGGAGGCTCAGATAGGTCTCTGGACCTGTGAATGCCTCCTCTCTGGCATCTGCGCTGCCAGAGGTGTGTTGAGGGAGAGGGGGGGAGAGAGAGACGGAGAATAAAAGGTCGGGATGCGCCTACACTTCTCTCGGAGATATTTAACATTGTGATGAGGCGTTTCCTGCATCCATATGCGGGACAGATGTACGCGTCATCTTTCTTTCCTGTGTCTATTGGCCTTTGAAGGTTTTTTGACGGAGGTTCTCGGGATCATTGGGGGATTTGAAGAGGATTTTCCTGGATACAATTGGGCTCTGGGTTCATTTGTTGGCAATCAGGGGTGTGGTATGGTTTACAAATGTTTGGGGGATGTCAGGAGCAAAGTGGTGAAACGGGATAAGTTTACTGAAGTTGATGAGTTTTTAATGAGCGTGTATGAAAAAATTGTGTAGCTACGTTCTACAGGATACTCATGTTAGGGTAATTCTATATTGAATATCCTATAATTTGATATAATTTCTGTATACAGTATGTTTATAAAAATTCGTGCAAGCATTATGATTTGACGATTTTTTAAAATTTCGTCAGTCTTGATCTTTTTCACTTTATTAGTATTACTTTTCGGAACTTCTGAAAATTTTCACAATCCCAATTCTTAGAGGGAGCTTACAGGAATTACTTATTAGAAATTTGTTACAAGAAATTTTGTACTTGTTTCAAAGACGAGAATAATTTCTTGATGACAAGAAAGCGATTTCTTACATTAAGTAAAGTTTAATTAAGTCAATGAAACCTTTCTTCTCCATGGTGTTAATAATTATGAATAACGTTCAAGGGGTGCTGGAGAAATAATTACAATGTTGATCAAATTAGCATAAGTGCGACGTTTCGCTAATTATTTTGGCGTCATCAGGCTCTAGAAAGACAATAATACAAACAAAGAGTTATAAATCCACATGTAAACTAACTAAATGTTATAGCATAACCAACAATTAATTAATTTAATTAATGCATTTAATAGTTTTCAGCCTCAATTCTAAAATAGTTTAATGCAAAAACCATTTGAATTGATTTGAAAACTCGTTTTCTTGATATAAATCAATTTCCCTCATTTTTCGGAGAAACATAAAATTTCTTGACGTAAGATTTTTTTTTCTTAGTGTGAGATATTGGGCGTTTGGTAATTTTCGAGCCATGAATTTCTTCATACAAATAAAGACGTACTTCTCAAAAAACTTTTGTCTTCTCAGTGGAGGGAGCATAGTATCCGTCAATCTGAGGGTAATGTAAATATTTCTTTGAAGACTTTGGTGTAGTGATGAAATACTATGAGGAAAAAGGCCAGAAGAATTTCACCTTTTTCATCAATTCTAAAATATTTAGGAACTCGAAGGGATTGAATTGTCCCGTTTTATCACTTGGGTATTGATGTTAGGTAGAAAGTTTGGAAAGGAGATGAGTGACATTTTAAATATTTCTCCGAATATGAGCGATTTGACGAATATTTCAATGGCTTTTTCTTAAAAAAAGGTCCATCGGGCCCTTTCAGTCGAGCTGTATACATTTTTGGAGTGATTCGGATGGATGTTTGTGTAGGGTTTTAAATGGGAAAGGTCTGTTAACATTTTTCTCCGAATCTCTACCTTTCGTAGTCATTCACGAGTGATGTGACATGTTTGAGTTGGACAATGTTGGGACAATCGTCGGACAAAACATTTGCGGATGTCCGCATGAAAAGGGACCACTTTGTCGATGAGGAATTATGTATATTCTGATAATATTGATAACACTAAGGGCTCCGTGTTTGCTCCGCTCGGCAACCTCCATATGACCCCCATATAATCCCCATATGACAGCCATGATCTTTATTCTGACCCTTGTGATCCTTAATCTGACCCTCGTGACCCTTATTTTGATCCTTAATATTGGAGTCTTAATTTCAAGTGCCAAATTTTCATCACCAGAAGTCGATTTGGTTTTTTATAATATAGAGAGATATAGAGACCCTTATTTTGACTCTTGCGACCGTTAATTTCTGACCCCCATGACTCTTATTTGGACCCTTAATCTGGCATTTGTGATCCTTAATCTCACCCTTATTTGGATCCTTAATCTGACCGTCATTATAACCCTCGTGACCCTTAGCCATTTTTGACTCACATCCCTTATTTGGACCCTAAATCTGACCCTTGTTACCCTTATATGAACCATTAATCTGACCCTTGTGACTCTTAATCTGACCCTCGTGACCCTTATTCTGACCCTTGTGACCGTTATTCAGACCTTTGTGGCCCTTATTCTGACCCTCATGACCCTTATTCTATCTCTCATGATCCTTATTTTGACCTTCGTGACCTTTGCGACTCTTAATTTTGGAATCTTAATTTCGAGTACCAAATTTTCATCACCAGAAGTCGATTTGGATTTTTACAATATTGAAAGATTCCGCATATTTTAAGCCCAAAATAATCCTTATAAGGTCAAAAATGACGTCGCTGAAGAAGATAAAAACAATTTAACATTGATGTAAAGGGGAGTTGCTGAGATAAAAACGTGAGTATCTCGGGAACTACAATCGACAAAGTGATCTTTTTTTATGCAGACCTTGGGAACTTGTACATTCAACCTAACCATCATAGAGCTAATTCAGAAGTTCATGAATTCATGAATTTCATGAATTTCTATGTTTCATTTTCGTCAGGACTATTTGTTTATATAGAGCGAAAATTCGAGAGATTGTTCTCGTAGTGAGGATGATTGTCTCCAACGCAGATCTCTGGGTGAATTTCGCTGAATCCAATAGTTTCGAATCTATTGACGAAACAGCCTGGGAAATCCCACCTAGTAAGAATATTTTGCAGCCGTATCAAATTTAGCAAATATCGTTCAAGCTAATTTAGAGATAATGGTTAAATCTCTTGTGTAGGGTTTCGAATTTTCTACAAAGAGTCAACTTTTGTCTCAACCTTCTCCTTTGATAAATATTTGCAAGCTCAGCGAGAATTACTTCGAAAATCTCTAGACGTTTTATGCAGAGTATTTTGGGAATATCCCCGAGGCAAGTCCAAAGTGAGTATAAGAGAAGATTCTAAAAGCCATTTTTTTAAGCGATAGTTGTCCTGTAGAGCGGAGTTCTGCTTCCTTTTTTTTGGGTTTCTCAATTTGTGTAATTCCAAAATTCATGGTTTCTGGATTTCTTTATTTCGTTTTTGCCAGGATTATTATTATTTTGATTTGTCACATTGAGTTGGTCACACAATTGTTATGGTATTGGTATAAAATATCAATTTAGTAGAAAATCGTTACATTGTGCTTTACTGATTTACACTAAAAATTTTAATGTACCATCGGCATACATATCGTAGTTTATCGGTGATTAATCACCAATTACTAAAAGTCAGTAGTGAAGTGGTAAAACACCACTCAAATATCAAATATCAAAACAAATAATTCTACCGAAAAGAGCTAAGACTATTTTTCGGAGTCTATTGATTGAAAAGCACTCATTACCAAGATTATTGATAACGATATATGTCAAATGCAGAAATCCCTTCAATTATGTAATCATCTCAGCAATCAGTAATTTCAAGAAAAGATGTCAAGAGACATTTTTTGTAAGCGAGATAATTTTCAGTGATAGAGATTTCCTGGTATTTAGAATACGTCGTGAAACTATCACGACGTATTCAAACAAAATGCATAACTCCATTCTAATTCAAATAAATTTGAGTCAATAGTATAGTTCAAACTGCTAACTTAATTCCTCGCACAAGAAAGCACTATACCAGCTGAAGTTGGAAGAGACGTAAACTCAGGTCATCAGGTAAACTTTCACTATATTCTCGGCTCGGACATAACACAATTGATTTTTTAGCTTCGTTCCTATTTATTTTGTTTTTTATTTCACCACACTTTACATCAAATAAGCTCTCAAACTTGATAACACAAATGATCTCTGTGGAATACAGACTGTGTAGAATATTGCCCGATTATTCTCATGTAAATACATGTATCAATAGTTCCATTGAAACTACGAATTACGCAATACATAACGAAGTATTATTTAGCAAGGGTTCACATGCCTCTTTAAACCTCAACAGGAGAGTGCTTTTTTGTGGTAAGAATTGCCTTATTCCTTTTTCAACCACAACATTCATTAAATCTATTCCATGTATGAAAAAAAATTGATAGAAAAACATGGCGTTTTTTAAATGAAATTCTATTGAATTTCTTTTGGAACTTTATAGGGATTCTATTAGACTTCTATCAAAATTCTGTTGAAAATTGTGTTTGCTTTTTACGCCAATTTTATGAATGCCTCTCTCAATAGCTATTTTGACTATTAGAAAATCCGACAAATACAAAGCTTTCATTTGTTTAGAAGTAAAAAAGACTATTAGGTATTGATTTTTTTATAAAATTAATATTTTTGGGATCTTTTGCATAAGAATTCATGGGCATAAATTTTTTAATTTTTTTTTTTGAATTTCATTAAGACAAACGAATGAGAACACAACAGACAAAACTTAGAATAATTAAGCCCAAGAATTTTCACAGAAAAACAAAAATCTATTGACTTCTTTTCGCCAAATATTGTCTTTGGAAAATTACATAGTAGAGTTGAATAATATCCGATAGAATTGTTTTAGCAGAATTCCAATCGAAATTCTATTGAATTTGCCTAACGAAAGGGGTGGGTTTTTCTGTCAAATTGTTTCATCTCAAATTGGAATTCTGAGATATCGAGCTGCGGGACACCCTCGATTTTCAGACATGTACCAACTACTCACGCTCTAATGCGTAATTCTTATTTTAACCAATAAAAAATTATCACTAAACGTCAAGTAAACAATTTTCAATCAATTTTAGGCATTGGAAGTATATATTATTAACAATTAAGTTATTCAAATCGCCCTAGCACCCAAACTATGAAGTATAGTTGGAAATTTTCAAATCATGAATCATCTAGAATTTAATAAGGAATAATTTGTAATTTTGTAGATATGTGAAATTGACAAAAGACAAAAATTATTCCTTATAAAATTGTAAATGACTCGTGAGCCGAAAATTTTCGTATATCTTTCATAGTCTATGCGCTAGGGCGATTTGAACAATTAAATTGTTGATAAGAAATAGTTGCAATGCCTAAAATTGATTGCAAATTGTTTACTTGACGTTCCGTGATCATAGTTCATTGTTCAAAAAAAGAATTCACAGAAATTCCGTATTACACATTAGAACGCGAGTGGTCGGTCGGTCAAATTAGAAGCGTTTTTTTGGGGGTGTCCCGCAGCTCTAATAGACCTCTTTGAATCATTCCCCCGAGTTATCCCTTTTCTTCTAGGATACCTGATTCAATTACCAGAATGATCGAATAATCAACAAAGTAAGTTACATAAACCTAAACGTTTTTACCACTTCTCTACCAAAATACTTAGGCCACCGCGAAAATAGACAAATGCTACTAGATCACTTTTCATTGTGATACCTTCGTTGTTGAATTTTACTTTTATGAAAATGGAATACGATAAACATCGTACTTCTTTAGTTTAAACGTTCTTCTTCATTATCACAAGGCATTGACTGAAAGATCGATTCGATCCTGTTTTTTTTTATTTAATATAGTCTATATTTATATACTTTTTATTTAATTACTTGAATTTTTTATCACGAATTAACGCTTTAGTAAATGATAAATTGAAGATATCTGTTTTCTTTCGCTTTTCTCTGGATAACAAACAATTGAATTAATTGTAAGCAATATCACTAATTTACTTGCAAATTCCTCCTTTGTATTTCATTATGATCTTCAGTTTGAGTGAGATGGAGATGACGCAGGCCGGGATGTGAAGATGATCGAGCAAGAAAATAAACGTAATAAGTTAGAAAACTTACTGGTAAAAAAAGGCGTGACTAGTATAGTCCTTTTGTGACGAATATTCACATCTTAATCACACTTTTTCATCAATCGTTCGAATATGTCGGAAAATACTTTGTTGTTTTTCTGTTTGTGGGGAATCGATCAAAAGTAGCACCATTTGCCGAGAATCGCGTCCTTGATGGCAGCAATGTACTGCGCTGGCACCCAATATATCCAATATCTTGAAGCCTCGGTTGGGCCCAATTGTATTGCCTACAACAATGAAAATAGAGGGATTATTTCAGTGAATTACTGATTTTTTTAGATGAAAGATGGAAAAACTGTTCAGTCGTTTATAAAGAATTTGATGCGAAGCATCAATTATTTCATAGACAACGAATGTCCACAAAAAGTGATATCAACCGAACCATTATTAATTCAGTAGCGAAGTGGTCAAACGGTTTAAGTCGATTTTGACTATTGGCCAGTTTTCAATGAATATCTCGAAATCTAAGGGAGATAGCAAAATTTTTCCCAAAACCTTTTTTGAAACGCAGCACATAAGTCATTATCCAAAGTTACCGGGCTCAACGGAAAAACTCGACCGACTTCGGGACCCTTCGGGTTCATCGGCAAATCACGAAGCAAATCGCCAAATATGAAATTTCAGTATTATCAATCTTTTCCTCAAAGAGTATATCGCGGTTAGTTACCGAGTATTATAAGGAGTCTAGCGCTCTGTGTAGCGTCTCTATTTCGTTCAATTATCAATTAATTTCGAGTTAAATATCAATTATTTTGAGTCAATCATCAAGTTTAATATCAGGAGAATATCTAGTCCAGTGTAAAGACTCCTAACAACTTGACATTGAGACATTCACCAATTCGTGTATCCCTAAACTCAAGACACGTGTCTTGCGCCACTAATAAAGTACATCACCAGTGTTTTTGTAATCCACGTGAATATTAGCCTCAACCTCTAACAAACCTTTTCAGTAGCACTCAATTTGCTCTACAAAAAAGGTTATTATGAAAATTGCGCTATCTCCCTTAAATTCGGAAATACTTCTAGAAAACTCATCTAAAAACTAAATTGACTTAAACCGTTTGACCACTTCGTCACTGAATTACGAGTGTGATTTGTAAATGAAGAAAAATAATTTTTTCTTCTTCAATTACTTCTTCAATCCATTCTGAAAAAAATGATATGTGGGATGACGAAGAAAAATAAATTTACCATAATGTGATACTGAGGATGCTCAGGAATAGGTTCGCTATGAATCCCCTTTATCGAATTCATGGGAATTTTATCAGTCCTCTCCTTAGTTCCAATCCAGAGTTGATCCTGCTCCAGTTTGAACGTCAGCCTGACCTTTCCCCCCATCTTATTCAGCATTCCAGCCAGTGGAAAGTCCGGCAGAGGATCCTAACGAAAAAACTCATCAAATTGAGTATCTTGCAGCCAAGACATTCAATTCTCAAAGATTTTAATATGGAGTCATTGTAAACATACCTTAGCATCCAAAATGCCAGGCATGGCGTCCTCTGGAATCCCCTTGTCCAATATTTTTTTATGTATTTTCTGCTGCGTCAGAGGTTCTTTACTACTGGCAGCTGCTGCTTCATCCTGAATCTCCTGCTTCGAAGGTACAGTAGCTACCTGAAGTACATCGTCAAGCTTGGATCCGACAATCATCAATTTTGCTCCTAGAATCATAATATTTTGCCATTATAAGTTGATCAATGAAGTTCATCATTTATAGTTTTAGAGTAAAGCGGTCAGGGGGATGAGAAGAAGAATTTGTAATATTTGCCGTTCATATTCAGAAAATCTTAGCCTTCTTTCTGAGAAAGAAGGAGAATTTTTGAAGATGCCTAAATCCAGTAAGTTTAAGGATGTTCGACACCCTTTTAGCCAAAATTGACGTTGTTTTCATTTTTCTGGCAAATTATCGATGGGAGTGACGTGAAAAAATATAACGATTTTGTGGTTTGTCATTCTTTAATGGCTCACGAAGTTGCGTAGTGGTGCGATAATTTTCATGCGTTTTTTCTACAGTTTTGTGATTCTTTTTAAAAGTTTAGAGAAAACGCAGGAAAATGTTCGCACCACCTTAAAATTTCGTCAGTCATTAAATAATGACAAAACGCAAAAACGTTATATTTTTTCACGTCAATTCCATCATAAGTTTGCCAGAAAAATTAAAAAAACGTGAATTTTGGCAGAAAGGGTGTAGAACATCCTTAAGGGAAAATGTCAATGGATATTGATCAACTAAACGTTTGAGTTTTTTCTGTTAACCATGTCTGTAAAATCAATTTAAAATTCTTTTGGGGTCGAAGAATTTAATAATCCTAGCTTTCCAAATATCTCCAACACCTGTTGGTTTATAAAGAAAAAATTCTAAGAATCTTGATAACTTCCGCTGTAGCTCTGATTTCTCCACATGAAAGCTTCCCAAAAAATCCCCTCATCTCCCCAGGGTCCAAAGATATCCGCCAAAAACTAATCTCAAAATTGAATCGAAAAATTTGACACAGATCCCTTCATAAGTATCGTTAAAACCAGCAAAAATATTCCAAGCATTTCCTTTCATATTCAGAAAGTCATAGCTTGGTTGAGAAAGAAAGAGATTTTTTGAAGATGTCTAAATTCAGTAAGTTTAAAGAAAAATGTCAATGGATATTGATCAACTAAACGTTTGAGCTTTTTCTGTTAACCTCTTGATTTGAAAGATATATGTGGGGCATTCCATGTCAATTCGACCGGTTTAAACCCTAACCATCTCAGATTCGTTTCATTTTTTTTCATGATTCTACTCAATGAAAAATCCACCCTGATTTTTTTCATCAATTCTTTAATTTTTTATCAATTTTTGAGGTAGATTAACGGAAGCCTCATTTAAAAATCTGAAAAAATTCACAAAAATATTATGCTACCAAAAAGTTGTTTCAAGCTATTTTTTAGAGTGAAAATAGAAATAGTACGCCCTACGCTAACCCTATTTCTGTATGTGCTGGGAAAAAAATTACATTTTATCTATGGAATTCACGTTAACGGAAGTGCTGAATCCGAATCCGAAGTCGATTTTTACAAGTTGTGGTCAGGTCTATTTATTTATAACATTTTAATTGTTTAATCGATCATATCATGGAAACGGTTGCAGATAGAGAAAAAAATTTCAAACAAAAGATATTTATTATGTAAAAATACACACTTTTATCGTATAACTTTTTCTCCTAACTGCGATAGATAAAGAGTCTTCATGGATGAGAGGGAAGTGGGCAGCATGTTAACACTTGCGCAGATGTTGGGGCGCTTCAATGCGTTTATTGGCAAACTCGATCGAGATAGAGGAGAATGGTTCAAACGAAAAATGTTCACCATTGAATTTGACATATAATTGATGGTTTGCCATTTGATCCGTCAATTTTTTATGAATTTTCTAAGTTGATTGACGAAGGCCCCTACTGGGAAATTTGACAAAAATTACAAAAATTTGATATTACCAACAAAGTATTTTACGGCATATTTTAGAGTGAATATGGAATTAATCGTGTAATAGCTGTAGTGATTCAAAAAAATACTCATTATTGTCAGATTATAATTATTCTTACAAATACTAGTTATTTCTATAAATTGAATTCCGATTTTGTTCATGATTTTTTTCTCAATTCTATATCATGAGATAAGGCTCCAGTTGAAATTTCAGTCCAAGATATAATTTTTTGAACGAGTTATGATTTTTTTTTAGTTTTGCGTTTTTTGGCTTGTAAAAAAAAATTCCTATCGCCTTTGACAGAAAGGAATTTAATAGTTGATGAATATCGAGAGAAGTCAATAATCAACTCGAAGTAAGCCCTAAAATGTAGATTTCGGCGAATCTCCAAGGAATTTTTTCTTCATCTTCTGCGATTTTAATGATTAAGAGCTGAAGTTCAAATCTGTTCATCAAGAAACTAAGACTGTTAAGTCTATGGAAATAGATTTGCGGTATTCACTGTGCTCAATGACAAAAAATTTTTATATATGGAAAAATATATGAATTTTATCCTGCGGAATTGAATTCTCCTCTATCTCGATCGAGTTTGCCAATAAACCCATCGGAGCGCCCCAACATCCGCGCAAGTGTTAACGTGCTGCTCACTTCCCTCCCATCCATGATAACTCTTTATCTATCGCAGTTAGGAGAAAAAGTTATACAATAAAAAATGTGTATTTTTACATAACAAACATCTTTTGTTTGAAATTTTTTTCTCTATTTGCAACCGTTGCCATGATATGATCCATTAACCAATAAAAATGTTATAAATAAATAGACCTGACCACAACTTGTAAAAATCGATTTCGGATTCGGATTCAGCACTTCCGTTAACGTAAATTCCATAGATAAAATGTCATTTTTTTCCTAGCGCATACAGAAATAGGGTTAGTGTAGGGCATACTATTTCTATTTCCACTCTAAAAAATAGCTTGAAACATCTTTTTGGTAGCATAAAATTTTTGTGAATTTTTTCAGATTTTTAAAATGGGGCTTTCGTTAATCTACTTCAAAAATTGATAAAAAATTAAAGAATTGATTAGAAAAATCTGAAAAAAAATTAGTGTGGATTTTTCATCGAGTAGAATCATGAAAAAAAAAATGAAGCGAATCTGAGATGGTCAGAGTTTAAACTGGTCAAATTGACATGGAATGCCCCATGTGTAAAATCAATTTAAAATTCTTTTAGGGTCGAAGAATTTAAGAATCCTAGTTTTCCAAATATCTCCAACACATGTTGGTTTATAAGTAAAGAATTCTAAGAATCTTATATAACTTCCTTTGCAGCTCTGATTCCTCTCCACATGAAAGCTTCCCAAAAAATTCCCTCATTTCACCACGGTCCAAAGGTATCCCCCAAAAACGAATCTCAAAATCGAATCGAAAAATTTGACACAGACCCCTTTGTAAGTATCGTTAAACCCATCAAAAATATTCCAACCGTTTCCGTTCATATTCCGAAAGTCATAGCTCGATTGAGGACGAAAAAAAATTTTGAATAGATGTCTAAATTCAGTGAGTTTAAGGGAAAATGTCAATGGATATTGATCAACTAAACGTTTAAGTTTTTTCCGTTAACCTCTTGATTTGAAAAAATATATGTCTGTAAAATCAATTTAAAATTCTTTTAGGCTCGAAGAATTGAAGAATACTAGTTTTCCAAATATCTCCAACACCTGTTGTTTTATTTTTAAAAAATCGAAGAATCTTGATAACTTCCTTTGGAGCTCTGATTTCTCTCCATATGAAAGTTTCCTAAAAAAATCCTCCCTGCCCCAGGCCGTTCACCATAGCTACATTCCTGATTGCAAGGGACCTAGAACCACTAAAGATTATTCATCAATTTGTTAAAAAGAATAGAATAAGAATCTGATGGTAGAACGACAACCTGACAACTGATCAAACAAATGTTATTTACACCCATATCCCGTTATTCTTTGTACTCTGTATGAAATTTATTTTTGTAAATAGCCCTTTGGGTTGATACTTACCAATAGAAAAAAATAAAAAAAAAATCCTCCCACCTCCCCAGGATCCAAAGATAAGATCCAAAGATCCCCCAGAAACGAATCTCATCCCACTATATCCCATCAAAGGCCCAATTCCATCATTCTACTCACCATTCGTCACCCCAAGATCCCTCAAGGTCTGTTCGTCTTTAGCCAGCCCTTTAATCATGACCTTCTGCATGTCCTTTGGCACTGATATAACCTCCTGCAGGTACTCCTTCAATTCTGCAATCGTTCCATCCAGTGGAAAATTAACGTCGATTTTTTTCTTATTGAAAATCACTTTAAAGTCTATTTTCTCTCGTGTGTCCTCTTGAGGTTCTGTGACTTTATCTGGCTCTGGATCCTTTGGAGTTGTCTCTATCGTTGTACCACTATTTTCCATTTTTGCTGGAGGTGTTTCGAGATCCTCCGAGTCGAGGGTCATCGCAGGGCACGACGTGCAGTGGTTTTCATTTGTATCTTTTTTCTCTGAATCTGAACAAAAATATTACAAAATTACGTTCTTCACCGTTTCACATTTTTTTTAATTGAAGAAACAAAAATTCTTTTGTTTCTCGGGACCAATAATAGGTTGTTGGACTGAGAGAATGCGAAGAAGGTTTTGATTCGGGAGAGATATATATGCAGTCATTGTTGTCATAGCCCTAGCCTGAAACCTCACTTTTCAATATGGTTATTCGAATGATCAAAATCAACGGAATTACTACAATTTTTTCAACGATTTCTTCAAGTCCTATTAACGTAATTGAATGGAAGGATTGAAGGAATTATTTTCAAGCTGTTAGGGGAAATAATGATTTTAATAGTGAAGAAAACTTGCACACGTACCAACGAACTCCATGATGAACTGTATGTTTTCCTCGACCAATTGAAAAATAACGACGCAGAGTGCGCTGTGAGTTGTGCAATGCGAATGTAAATGGCAATGTTTTCGTTCTCCCCCCCTTTGTGCGATGATGATACTTTTGGCCGGATGACTCTTGATTTTTGAAGAATTTTATTCTTGTATACTATAGGATTATTGATGCTTTGTCTTTCTTCGGAATTAGAAATTTACGAGTCATGTGTTTTCACTAAAATTTTGCGCGTGTCATTGAAAAAATTGAAATTAATAAAATCTTGATGAACAAAAATTTGTTATTTACTTCATTATTAATATTTATAGGAAGCAAAATGAACATTTCAATAATTTATTCATGTTAAATTGGGGTATAATGTATTTTTCAAATTTGTTTCTGTAGTTGAAAACTGAAATTTTTGTCACCATTTCGGAAATTAATTCTTTTTGATACCCGATTTTTATTTTTTTTCTTTAGCAAGTTGATTTTGAGAATGAAAATCGATTTAAATATGAAAAAATAGATTCAAAGATACCAAAACAATTTTGATCATTTTTTCATTTTCAATGTTACATCTGTCGATTTTTTTCCCCATAAAAAACTATAAAATCAGGTCGTACGCAATTAATTTCAAGAAAGATCCTATTGATTACCATTAAAGAAGTATATTCGATCATGTTGATGACTGTGCAATTAGTTGCGATCTTTGCGTTGAAGCAGGTCGAGGAGATCAACTTAAAATTAACTAAATGACCCCCGCATTTCGCCAAATTGTTGTTTCGCAAAATTTCAACAATTATCTCTAGCTTATTGGATAGGAAAAATCGTGTCAAAGGATGAAATCCTCGATTTATGGCGTTATAACTGTTTTTCTTTAGGTACAACTAAAAAAACTTCAAATGTCGCGCTATTGAATGACAGTGTAGTTTTCAAACTCACCACTTCCGGTTTGATGCCGCTGAAGAAGCACCTCCGCCATCTTGGAAACATTCTTTCCGGTCAGCACCGTCACAGAGGTGTGTGGTATTGACATTTTATGTGTAATTTAAACAAATTAAACCTGACAATCGAACATTATAAACGGCTAATCAACATTTCTAGGCCTTGATTAATTCCTGAATGTAGTTTCTGCTTCAAGTTGTTGACTTAGAATCTAGAAATATTAATGGCAAAGTTGTCCCGGTGGCACTGGCACCCATGTGCTTCAGTTTACTCTCCAAATTCGCTTTATTCTTCATTGATAATCAAATTGTGTATTTTAAATTATTCCAGATGCCGTCTGTAACGCTCAAGGACGTCGACCAGCATAAATTCGTGAAGGCCTTCGCCGCCTTCTTGAAGAAGTGAGTAAAGACCTTTCGAAAGCATTTCTAACCTCAAATTTCGGGTAATCAATCTGCATCCATGCCAATTTTTCTTTACAAATTATACCTTAGAAACTACACTGAGAAAAAAATTATTTTTGCCAAATATTCATTTACTTGAGAGGACCATTTATTTTTTCAGAATCTTATTTCTGCAATCGAGTCATTCTCAGGCAACCCTACTTGGGTTTCAGTTATGGCAATCATGGTGCTCTAGAAGATGACTATGTTGGACATGAGCTTGGATGAACACCTCCAATGATTATTCATTTTTCCTCAATTTCTTATTTTCTACAGGAAAGAATTTAGATCAATTTTTTAATGTTTATAATTATTGAGGGAGTTCATTCCAGGTCATAACTAACATGATGATCTTCTAGAGCAATATAATTGTCATAATTGAAACCGTGTGAGAATTTCCTGGGAAATGAATCGACTGGAGAAATACGATATTGAAAAAATGAATACTTCTCTCAAGTAAATGGATATTTGGCAAATTTTTTTTTTCTTAGTGTACCCAGCTAACAATTTACTGGTAAATTTCCGGATATTTACCGGTCTTGCTGAGGATTTTTAGATGGCACCCGTAAAAATGGTTCTCAGTGTAGTACATTTGACAAAAAATATCAGAAGAACTCTTTTCTGACGCGCAAAATTTTCGGTCAGCAAATCCCCCTAAATGAAATCCACTAGTTCTCGAGATATTTTCCGAAATATTTGAAATTTCAATTTGATTTTTAATATTAAAATCAATTTTTAGACATATTTCGATAGCTCTCAATTTTTTTCATACTGGCACGTAGGCACTGATCTTCCATTTTTTAAAGTGATTTCTCACATGTCTTCAAATAGAATTTCTTCTCGTATACGCTACCTACCTACCGCAGATTGCGCCGCTTGTGGCGGAAAATGACAAATTGTTAGGTACAAAAAAACAAATAATAGAAACTTTTTTTTTCAATTTTGACCTGCCACTGAATGCCATAATCGCACTTGAATTGAATGGAATCATACTGCAAAATGTATGCCCAGATCAAGGAAAGACCGCAGATCCAGTCACTGGAATCCACATCTAATTATATACCTTTTTCAGTTGTTTTTACTTTAAACGATATAAGTAGCTTGTTTATTAAAGGTTTAGTTTGAATTCAAAATTCAACAGGCGGAGCTATAAAGTTAGTCATTAACACCCAAAAGTGGCCAAAAAGCGCCGGAGAGACCGTTACTAGTGCCCTTCATCAGATATGCAGCTAGCGTATAGTCAGACTAAAATTTCTTTTCCCTTTAAAAAATTGTATTTCAATTGTTTTCATTGAGAACTCAACATTTCGACAATGGAAACCATGGAATCCTGTGGCCTGAAATTAGGTTTCTGAAGGAAAAGAAGATTTAGTTGGACTATATCAGTAGCGAAGTGGTAAAACGGTTTAAGTCGACTCATCTCCCAGTTGAGTTCTTGAGGAATATTTCCGAATCTAAGAGAGATAGCGAAATTTTCGTGATTGCATTTGTCGTACCGCTCAATCAGTTCTAAAAAAAAGTTATAACAAAAATTTTGCTATCTCCCTTAGACTCCGAGATATTCATTGAAAACTGGTCAATAGTTGAAATTGACTTGTACCGTTTTACCATTTCGCTACTGATATGTAATACCACGAGAGCTTCACAATTATTGTGTATTTTCCGATGGGTTAGTTGCAAACAAACGAAGAAGTTAAGTTTTTCAGATTAACAAATCACGTATCGAGTGACTTTTTGTGTACGATATATTAAAATGGGGGAAAAATAATTACTACATTTGATTTTGTCCCGTGAATCAACGAAAAACAACGGTTTTCAGTTTTACCTCTAAAATCGTCGGAATGCCTCAGTTTTCATCCGATTGACATTTTTTTTTCAAAACGTTTGTTAGACTCCAAAGAACAAAGGTATCCGTTTTATTTTTTTTTCTTTACTGTTTTCGCATTGAATTATCAATTTTTAGTTTTTTTTTTCAATTTTCTCATGATCCGTTCAATGGATCGTAAAATAGATACCTGTGCATACCTTTGTTCTTTGGGGGCTACCGAACATTTTGAAAAAAATGATTGTTAATCGAATGAAAAGTGAGGGACTTGGACAATTTTAAAGCTAAAAATGAAAAACGTGATTTTTTCTTAATTCACGAGCAAAATCGATTGAACTCGTCATTTTTCGTTTTTTAACATACGTCGTCATATCTCTAACTTATCTTGAATGTCTCTAATGAGGACTTTGAAATTTCACCGGGATCTGTGCTTAAAGTATATCAAAGGCTCATTTTCCCCTGAATCTTCGAAGTAACCTCATCGATGCACTCAATTTTTAATTGCCATGCTGTGAATCTGTTTATTGAATATTTCAAAAGTCAAGTTGACATTTTGGCTACTCCATTGCCTGATGTACAATATTAAGATTAACCACATAATTTCTGAAGTTTATAACCATAATCTTCTCAATTTGTTTAGCCAACTAGCTTCCTATGTGCATGATTCCATCCTATGTTCCGCATCTTGAACGTATGTTTCTATCATTAGCTGTAATATTTATCTTTTATAAAATTTCGACATGTATGTTAATGAATTATTTGACCCTGTAATTGGCCTCGTACATTGAAAAAATGAAAGAGAATTCAATTTACATCCATTAAAATGTAATCGAAATAATTTTTTTTTGCTTTAAGGCCGGGTTAGATTATCTTTCGAAGGTTATCTCGATTGTTTTTCCATTTTCATAATGTAAAAGAACATTGAACATTTTTAAAGAGCGTTTTTAATAAAGATTCAAAAATAAGTCCGATAGAGAGGCAATAGTGAATGGATAATTCATCATGGTAGCTAACGATCTGACAGCCATTAGATACATCAAATTATTAATTTGCAATTTCCTCCTCATTGGGTTTATTTCCCAATATTATTCAAAAACGCTCTTTGAAAATGTTCAGTTTTTTAACGTTTTTTTGATTATACAATCATAATTTTTGGAGACTCCAGGGCTATACAAAACTGAATAGCAATTTAGATCATTTCAGATTATCAAAATTAAAAAAACAACCAAGATCACGCTCGAAAGATAATCCACCCGGGCCTTAAATTGTCAATAATTCAGGTATCTTAATAATGTGTTAATCACCAAAATTCTAATGCAATTAATTTTCAGTATTTCTTCTTCTCTTTCAGGACAGGCAAGATGCGTGTTCCAGAGTGGGTAGACATCGTGAAATCCGCCAGATTCAAGGAGCTGGCTCCCTACGACCCTGACTGGTACTACATTCGTTGCGCTGCTCTCGTTCGTCATATCTACATCCGCAGCCCAATTGGTGTTGGTGCTGTTACCAAGATTTTTGGTGGTCGCAAACGCAATGGAACCCACCCAAGCCACTTCTGCAGATCAGCCGGTGGAGTAGCCAGGAAGGCTCTTCAGAGTCTCGAGCAGCTGAAGCTCATCGAGAAGGCACCACTTGGTGGCAGGAAACTCACCAGCCAGGGACGAAGGGATTTGGATCGCATTGCAGCACAGGTTAAGGCCAAAAGCAAGAAACAAATGAAGCTGCAAGAGACTCTTGTTCTTTAGAGATTTTTTCGATAATAAAACGATTTAAATGTAATCAAGTGTTTTTTGTTTGCTGAGCCTTTTCAATAATACCTTCTGAGGGAAGTAAACAACTGAAGAA